TGTATGAATCTAATTTATAATTTATTAATAAAATTGGCTTGGTCGTATTTATAAGTTATTTTTATAGTGTTTTTACTGTATAATATATTATAATACAATCGTATAAATAAAACTAAAATTAATAGTTATTCATTTATTATTAAAAAAAAAAGTTTCCAATTTAAAAATTAAATTAAATGTGTGTTTACTTTATGTAAAAAAATAATGGAGGAGGGGCACATGGGGAACGTGCTCCTGTTACCCATCCTTGTATCCACCACTGATCATAACGTACGAACTTTTAATACACGAGTACACGGACTCTAAACACACGTGCACACGTGTATTTTAATAACACGCACTTTCGCATCGTTTCTATAAAAATACGTACGGAACGTGTTCTTAAATACACATGAAATAGAGACCACTAATTCATAGGTATTTATCTGTAAATATTTGTAATATTTTAAGTTTTTTGTTTAGGTATAAAAAATGATTGAAATAAGTAATCGAAAAAAAATAAAAACGCTAAATAATGAATAATATTATTTTCTTGAAAAAAAAAGAATAAAAAATAAGCCTTTACTATACATTTACACTGAATTATTTTGTTCCTCGCTACGGGGTTTTTATTTCAGATAATCATATATAAATGATTATTAAATAATTATTTTATTTGTAGATTCATGAATAAGATCATGATCACTCGTCGCGCGGTCACATGTATGTGCTTGTACTGGCCCTGTGGCCATCGATAGATAAAACATTAAACCCGGGACACGCTTTTTAGTATCATGTCCTCTTAATAAAAATGGTCATTTGATTCTGCATGTTACTTATTATCATATCTCGCTGCAGTATACCACCGTAGCACCTGCTTAAAACTATTTGCTGTTGGGGAATTGAAGCGCTCAGCCGAACAACGGGACAAGCGCCAATCTCGGCAATATTACGATTATCGATGGAGTATCGGGACACGAGTACAATTTATTGTATATGTTCACTACCGCATTGAAATTACAATAAAAATAGATTAAAAGGCAATAATAAGCAATAATAAGTTTAGTTTTAAGTCGTGGAAATGGTCCGTAATATTTTAAACGCCTCCATTGTAAAATGCGCTCAGTGGCACTTGTCCCGTTGTTCGGCCGAGCGCTTCAATTATACTTTTATTTTAAACATTTTGATTTTCGCTAGGTTGTCGTCTCGATGTGTTTAAATGGAGTTCTATTAAGGACCGTCAGTGATCCAATAATGCAAACAGTTGACCAGAAATTTTTGTTTTTTATTTATAAATATTTAAATTGAAACGATTATTTGATAAAAATATTCTCAAAATCACCTGTACAATGTACGTAATGATGTATGATTTTTCGTAATACAATTATTTAATAATTTATGTCGAAACCGTTCTAAAATACAATTAACTTTATTATAAGATCGAACAACAAATATTATTTAACGCAATACTTATTTATTGACGGGGTGCGTCGTCCGTCCTGAGGCCCGAACAACGCGAATACTCTCCACTGCGCAAGTGTATGAGTGAAAAGATAAGCTCTGTGATTACGCGTTCAAAGCCCATACCGTCGCATTTGTTCGAAATGTTCACACTTCAGTGATCTGCATGGTTCGGTCTTAATCAGTCCGGTCTGGTCTAGTACGATCCTTATATACAAAAATTATTGAATTGTCGGCTTGTTCAATAATTTTTAGTAGTTCGGTCTGGTCCTCAAATCAAATGCATAAAGGTCGATTTACATTGGTCCGGGCCGGAGCCCAACTGGGTTTTAGAATTATATTATCATATTGATTTTATTCTGACAATTCACACTTGTCCGGACTGAGCCCGGGCCGAGCGTCCGTGCGGGATCCGGGTCAAAAAATAATTGTTTAAAACAATTCTCTATTCGGGTTCTAGGACAGGTTGACGCCAGTCCGGACACGTCGTGACAAATGTGAATGATGAACCAGGCCATGTCCGTGTTTTGTGTTTTTCATTCATTCGCCATTCGTCATTTGTCATAAAAATTTCGAAAAAGCGGTTGGTTCATACTTAAATTTAAATATTTTAAATTAAAACTATGGATTCAGAAAAATATTATGAGTTTAGTACTTACTTGAAACTTATTTGCTTTTAGTATTAGTTTTAAAATTAAAAATTTAATTCAGGTAAACATTTTAGCACTAAGGTATGAGAAAAATGCATAAAGACAAACCACGTAGTTTTTCATTCGATCGAGACTGACGACTGAAAGAAAATTGTAATTTGTAAATAAAACAAAATTGTTAATTCGGACGGGGCCCGGACGAGTGTGAATGCCTGATCCACGTCAACCTGGGCGTGCCATTACGTGTCACGAACCAAGCTCGGACCCGGCCCGGACCAGTGGGAATCGACTTTTATTTTCAGTGCGGTCCGGTTTCAAAAAAATGAATTGATAATCAGTCCAGTCTGGTGCCAATCATGGTACTTAAAACCTAAATACAGATATTGTTATGTAAACAAATAAAACGAAAAAAAAAACCTACAACTTTAGGTATATATTTATTTATAAAGCCGGGTAGCCGGACCAGTGTCCATACTAAACGCATCATATGGTACGGTCTGGGCTAATACAGACTGAACCTTACGGACCGGTCCATAAACGGTCCAGAATGTTTTAAGATCGAACCGACAGTCCGGTCTACGGTCTACTTTATTAAATGTTATTTAACTACTGGTCCGGTCCGGTATAAGAATAATATGAAGCCGTCAGTTCGGTTCAATTTTGGTCTTTGATTAACGTTTAAGTGTGGTCCGGTCCGACTTCGGTCCCCTGGTAAATTTTGTAGTCCGGTCTGGTCCTTAAAATTAACTTAAATAAAATAAATAACTTAATTAAAATTAATTCCTTAATACCGACCGTGCAGAACACTAGTTCACACAAATGACGCCCTCACGGCATCAGCGATGGGATCATGTCATTACGAAGTTACGATTGTTATCGATCCGTATGGCTGTAAGTGGTACGTGAAATGCACGAAAGTCCGAAAAAATATGAACGCAACAAATCAACACCTTTGTATGAACACAATATACCTATACTCGTAGGTGAAATATAATTTTTTATCAAGCCTTAAGGCGAAAATAGCATGATCCGATAAACCGCATTAAATCTAAAATGTAAAAATAAAACTCTATCTGCTCGTTTCGTAGTGGTAGTTAGAAAAACAAATGATTTTACGGGATAGAATTCATTCAAATGTTTACGCAGCACAGCATTATCGCTTTATAAGTTGACAAGTTGGATGCGAAGAAACTTTCATTAGTGTACATCGAACAACGGAACAAGCTGTTGTGTATAGACGAAAAAAAAGGACAAAAAATAGAAACCGCGTTGAACTCAAGTGTTTTTAAACCCATCGAATACCATCGTGAGAGGTACGGTATCGGAAAATGTCACGACATAATTAAACGCCTCGTCCTCGCGCTTTGTACTAAGTATATTTATTGAATATTACTAGGGCTGGTATTCTGATGCAAAGGCATTTTTTTTTCTGATGTTTTGAAACGTTGATTCGTAAGTTTAAATGTGTTTTGGGTGATACTGATATTTTAAATTATTTTTTTTTATTTTGCATTTTTTTTGTATAATTCGACAAAATTAACCTTAAATGCATTATTACATTATTTGACGTTTTTAGAACATTTTCTTAGTTTTATTAGTATTTTTCTCAATTTCTTCTTAAACCGAACTAAAATTGTTGTGATACGCAGGAGACTTTCGGCAAACTGCCAACAGTACGAATAATAAATTATATTTAGTTTCAAATATTTTATTATAGCTAGGCTTTTCCCCGAGAATTATCTCTGTTATATACCTATTATGAATTATTATTTTTATTACACCATCCATACATATAGGTACAAGTTATCGTCGATAATAATTTCATCAAAGCTAGGCTTCGATAAGTATTACTGAATTAGTAATTAATTAGTAACGCGTCCGTCGCCGTAGTCTTGGCAGTATTCGTTGTTTTTTCGTGTGAAATATAAGGTCAATATGCCGGAAGTAAAAATGTCGAAATCAAATCGATTGACGAAATATGCTAATGAATTCGGTAAAGAAGTTTCCGACAAATGACGATCATTTTTATTTGAAAATATAAGACAGCATATCATTATAAAGTGCAAATAGCGATTTTCTTCAGGTTAGTATTAATAAAAACTAGCAAAAATAAGTTAAAATATTAACATTTTTTTTAAAATTATTATTTTAGAATGAACGATTACGAAAACAGAAGCAGAAAAAACAAAAAAATACATTACTGTAGTATAATTTAAATTTTTTTTTCCGATTTTTAATCTATAATAAATATAATTTAAATGTTATTTTTTTTTTGGTTTTTTTAGACATTTTTTGAGATTTTTTAAGGCATCAAAATCCTAGCACTATATAATATTACCTAGCATATACGTTTCTATTATAATAGAAACTTGAACGCGCGTCTACGTTCGTAATTCGTCCGGCATGATTAAAGTACTCGAGTAGGTACAGTTCACAATTCGTTCGTGTTGCAAGAGCGGTTAGATTTATAAATATGATTAAGTTGATTTTTCCGTTTCATTTCAAGAAACGTAACGATGTAATACGAAGGAATGTCTAAATGCAAAGTCCGTTAACGATTAACATGTGTACGCATCGTGTGAGTATGATAAAAACGGTTTCGTGAAAATCAAAATATTTTTCGTAAACGTACCGCTGCGTTTTATTTAAACAGCGACTCGCGTGCGCCTGCCCGAGTGAGAGAGAGATAAAGAGAGAAAGAGAGGGATTGATAGGAACAGCGAGCGGAGAGGAAGAAGAAACCACGGCCAGCGCCGCCGTCGACTTGACCGACCGACCGACGACTGGCGCGCGCGTCGATTGCACTCGAGCGCCGTCAACGTACGCCACCGCATCGACGGCCCCGCGCGCCTTCCCATTGGTCGGCGCGGTGCACGGTAGGCGGCGCCCCGGTGGCCGCGAGGCGCGCGCGACCCGGTCCGTCTACCCGCTGCGTCAGTCACGCCGTAGATCCACTCGGCGTTCAACAACCCGCTGCGATCACCCCGGACGACCGTACGACCGACCGACCGATCGACCGATCTGTCCCGCGTGTCGCCGACGAATTGAAAAATTTACGCGTACATATTTTTCGCTTTTCCCGTTCGCCGCCTACGATAAGACAGTGCGATTTTTTTTTGTAATTTTTATAGTTTTTATTTTATTTTACCATTTTTGTAGACGTGTTTTCGCGTGTGCTTTAGTGCGAATATTTTTATTTTTTTTCCGCGTTAAAATGACCGTACGCTCCGTAACGTATGCTGTTCACCGGATTCTCGCGGCCACGTAGACTCTCGCCCGTCACGTACCGTCGCCAAGGATCGCGATCATAATTCCGCTTGTCGTACCGGACCGTTTTGCGACGGTGGGGTACCGTTTGTAACATTTATCGTACGTCGCATAGTCTTCAACAGCAGACGTGACACTGACACACACTCGCTCGCTCGCGTCCTATACAGGGTGGGACGCGCGTAAATGACGACCGCGTTATGTTAAACCCGTTTATGGACAACGCGCCTCTGGCCAACGGCATGGGCGTCAAGATCGAGGACGATTACATGGGTTCGCCGCAGGATCAGTACCATCACATGCACGGGTACGGGCAACCGCCGCCACCGTTGGCACCCCCGCCGCACCACCCAGGTTACCCGGGGCCCAGGGACTTTTTGCAGATCCGCAGGGACGTGGACTATCACCACCACGGCCACCATCACCAGCACGGCGCCAGCGAGCACCATCTTAGCGGCCTATACCCCGGCGTGCACCACGACCTGCAGCCGCATCATCACCACCATCACCATCACGGCCAGGTGTACCCGCCGCCGCCCCAGCCACCGATATCGACCGCCTCTATCGGATCCGTGCACCGGCACAACGACTACGGCGGTGGTAGCGGCGGCGCGCACGACCCTTATGGAGTAGCCGGAGGTGGCGGCAGCGGTGGCAACCACGGTGCGACCGGCGGTGGCAGCGGTGCGTTTTACCGGTACATGCGGCACGGAGTGCCCGTGTCGGCCGCCGCGGCCACCGCGCTCAAGGACATGTCCTGCCTGTGGATCGATAAGCCAGGGCCGCCGATGCGTACGTGCGGCAAAATGTTCGGCTCCATGCAGGACATCGTGTCGCACATCACGGTCGAGCACGTTGGTGGGCCCGAGTGCACGACGCACGCGTGCTTCTGGCACGGTTGCGAGCGCAAGGGCCGCCCGTTCAAGGCCAAGTACAAGCTGGTCAACCACATCAGAGTGCACACCGGCGAGAAACCCTTCCCGTGCCCGTTCCAGGGATGCGGCAAAGTGTTCGCACGGTCCGAGAATCTTAAAATCCACAAACGCACTCATACAGGTACGTGATCAATTATGTACATGATTATATAATAAAATTATACGCCTAGTGCACTTTTACGGTGTGCTCACCCATGTCCGTCTATAAGTCAGAATCCGTTCAGAACCGACCGATTAGTGTGTCATAAACATTTGAGGAAAGAAATATTCGCTGTGCAATGATATTCGGAATGGATTCGTAGATTCAATCATCTCAGACGCGTTTAGCTGATTGATTTAAATATACGCGAAATGTAATATCACGCGATGGCTCTAAACAGTGTATTAAGTAAATCCAGGGATTTCGTGCGTAATACAGCCGAATGACGATTTGTTGGTGGGTTACGTACATATTCATGTATGTGCACCGAAGACATAATTTGTATATTAATTCGCCATTGTACGCATATATAGTTTCGGTGTTAAATTGTCGATCTGCAATCCCATGGGCCATTGCCTCCCACGTATTCCGCTATTATTTCCTATCAGATTTTACAAATTTAAAGAAATTGCACTGATAATTTTCTCAAATTGTTAGGTAATAATTAACAATCACATTTTAAAAATATAACAACAGTTGAATTTTTTTTTTTGCATTTTATTCTTATTTTTCGAGTGCTATAGCAATAATAATAAGCACTAATAAACACCAGCATAGTAAAATATATTTTACTATGCTGGTGTTTATTAATTAGGGATCTCTTTCAAGAATCACCTTAAGTACGTATACATATTTGTGAATTTATATCTGCTGTTAGATAGTGATTTATTTTTTATTCACTGCAATAACGAAAAATATATAATCATATAAGCCCCTTAAACTCACCGTTTACTAATTTCAAAACACCTTGAGGCTATTGCTATACGATGACTTGAATGTTTTCGCTTTGTTATTAAAATGTTCTTCATTAATAATGGGTGGTAAAAATGTATGGGAAGTTATTATTTTTCGACCAAGTTAGGGCACTCCTTTTCAACTACGGTCAATTTTTATCTTTGGCATCTATATTCAAAAATACTTAAAATGTTCGATAATGACAATAAACAATTATTATATGATAATATAACCACAGTATGTCCACCACTTTTTCTCTGTTCAATCTATTTTTATTTATACTGAATGATATTTTTTTTGCTAAATATTCATTTTCTCTGTAAATTTATATGTTTTTGAAAAAATGATTTACAAATTACAAAAATATCGGCACTGCACAATATTTTTATTGAACAGTTAAGTACATTTTACTGTTTACTTTTTTTAAATATATTGCCTACCACTAGGATATAAGTTTTTAATTTCAATTTTACTTTATAATACATTATTATCAGATAAAATTTAAAAAAGGATAAAATGGATTTTTCTTTTTTTTTAAAAAAAAAATTTGTGTTGAAATATTTTGCATATTAAAAACATAATAATTTAAAAACACAAACATTTAGCAAAATAAATTTGCCATATCTATTTAATGATACAAAAATCATTGTATACAAAATTGCCTCAAATATTGTAACATGTTAGTGAAAAACTTTTACCGATATACGGGTAGATTTATGATGAAAAGGTCGAATTGCACTTATTTTAGTCGAATTGCTCTTGGGCTCAAAAATGTATTTCAATAAAATCATCATACATTTGAAGGGGTTAAATATCATCAATATTTGTTTTAATTTCTAAGTTGTTAATAGTGACGTGTGTCATTAAGAGATTTTGATAAAATCGGATAGTTTTTTCGGTGTTCATGATGTATATATATTTCGTACTCGATTTATGTGGTTACTATTTAATAATTGTGTTAACTCTACAAAAGCGTTAACGATTTCTTCCCTAATAATTTTTAATGGTTAATAAATACCTTGATCAGCTGCTTTTTTTCTTTGCTGAATTTGAAATAATTTTCTGAGGTAAATCAAGTGGTTCTACATGGTTGTCATTTATCAACTCATACCGAAAAATTACTTTAGAACATTCATATAGATACAGTTTTGAAAGACAACCACGATGGGTACAAGGCCATTTAACACCATCGTTTATGTTTTTCTTTGCAAAATGTATCATTTTGATACACAATTAAGTGACGGCCTCATTCACTTTTAATAATTTTTAAATTGTTTATACTTACACAGCGACGTAAAAGCGTGTACTAATTATAGTTTACATAGGTCTACATAGTACATGGTATACAATAAAATTATTAATCTTATACTTGTATTGATGACAATAATATTATCGGCGTTATCTAAATGGCAGGAACTAATATATAATGTTATTAAATAAGTACGCCGTAGCATTCTTCAACAGAGAGATAAGATTCGTAATATTTTTAACGGGTTTTCCATTTTAACTCTTTTTTTGAACGAATGCAGTTCAACCACTACCTGCTTTTTACCCGAGTGCAGTTCGACCATTACCTTTTTTTAATCCAAGTGCAATTCGACTATTCCGGATAAAAATTATTAAAGTAAAATAAGTAGGTACTTATATTAATGGCACATAAAATAAAATAATTAATATCAAAGTTTGAGAAAAACAAATTATAGCTTAGAACAACGCTTGTCAACAAGCAACGATTAACAAAATATATACTTCACTTCATAGCATGGGTCAATATTGTTTTTTGTTGTATTTAATATTTTTAATGTATTTGACGACATAATAATAGCAATCGACCGTTTTCAAATACGTTCACTCATGATTAGAAACAAGGGAAAATGCTGTGCACATGAATAATCGATTTGAACACAGAAGAAAACAAGTTTAGGGAATATTATCGGCAATATTATCGGATACCGGTAACAGATAAAATGTAATACATTTCATTCGAAAACACAAAAAACCGTAGGTGTATCTGTCAAAAATTCTATGTACATACAAGCCGTCGTATGTTTCAGCAGGTATACTCGTACATAAACGGTTGGTGAAATTTATTCATATTTTTAAAACGTTTATACACATAATAAGTTATACTATAACACGACGTTCTGCATATTTTACGATTTTAAATTATACTTCAGGGGTATTAATTATTCTTTTAAATATTTGTCTGGAGAAATTCTTACTTATTGTAAAATAATTGCAAAAAAAATAAAATCTGATTAAATACCCATTTTAAAATAAAATACTAATAAACATAAGCATGGTTTCGTTCAATAGATCCCTGTGTCGGATAGCAGTTGCACAGCTATTATACGTATAATCTAATCTAATAATATTTGTCATACGTTATAAAAATGTATAATTGTACCTATTTGAGGATTTTCACCGTTGAATGAAATGTCGATGAAAAATAATTAAAAAATAATTTATAGTTCAATGTTTGTACGACCGCTTATAACATATATCTTCGAATGCAAAAAATTCGTATTGAAAATGAAGTATAATATAACAAATGTTATCGTCGCTTTTGAAAAAACAATTATCATTCCATTTGGTTAAATATTCTGAACGATAACTGTATATATGTTACGAAACCATTACGAAACAAAATAATAACACGACAATATTTCATAAACGCCTCTTGGAATCGTAAAAAAGTAAAAATAAAATAATAATAAAAAAAAAGACAAACGAAATCCAATGTTCATTTTTTATTGTCTAATGCGCGCATATACGGGTAAATAAAATATAATAACCGACTGGTTAGGGTGGTTTCATCTCAAGCACCTCTATTGTGACCCACCCTTTTTTTTCCTTTTTCGGACGGCGACGGCGTCGACGACGACTACTCATTTTCTCTATCTGTCTCTACAGCGTCCCGCGAACCTTTTTTTTTCTTTCTCTTTTTTCGTTTTCATATTTATATACTGTACAATGTATATATTGTTATTTATTTGGACAGAAATTTTTTAAAATCCGACAAGTGTCAACCGATCGATAACTCACGTCGATCGCGCAACCTCCGTACACCACTCCGTCAAATCGACCGCGCCAACCCTTATTGTGCCGCGGGAAACCCAGATCAAACACTTCTGCGATAAAAAACGATCATATTATTCAACACTCGATTTTATTAGGTATGCGATACATCCGAACATCCACCGTACTCAATTTTTCCTTTGATTTTATCTCACACAATATCGTTATTACTGCACTCGTGTACGATAAAATGTGATTTTCAAAATGGCGCGCGCGCGCGCTACTTGTACGTAGTGCTTGGATTCGCGTTAGGAAACGTAACAATATTATTAATCGATTTACATAGCTGATTTCACGTCTATTCGTGTACAAAAAGTGTACGTTACACCAGTTACAATAATAACATGCTACCGAGAGATCATAGGTCGCGTTCGTGTAGCGAGTTCGAAAATCGACCACGATGCCTCGCGGGGATCTCGTCCGTACGGGTTATTATGTATTCGTTCGCGTGCGGCGTATATATGTGTACCGTAAGACGCGCGTCCAACTCAAAGTGACTACGGACGTCCGCCCAAAAATGGTAAATTCCGCCTAAAATGAACTACAAGCAAAATAAGGTGCATGTAAATACCGCGCGAAAAAAATTGATAGTTAATAAACACATCCTACATATAACTTATGAAGAAGTTCTTATTACTTAATGAAGTTTAAAGTTACTTTTATTTGTATTTTTTCAATCAAAATCGTATATGTATAATAGCCAAGAGGTTTAGATAAGATATGACGATTGTTACGTGTTCGTTCGAACATTCTGTGACTTCCGAATACTAAATAACCAGTGTTGGGACTTATCTAGACAAATTATCTAGATAGATTTTTGGCATCTTTTATCTTATCTAGATAAATAACGTTAAATTATCTAATTACTTACCTAAGATAAAATGTTTACTTATTTAGATGATTGAATTCTTGCCAAGATTAGAGTTATTTTTATTCTTGTACGGAAACGAATTCAATAAATCAGAGATCATCAAAATCGGTCCAGCCGTTCTTGAATTATAAATTCTATAACCAACCCGACTTTCTTTTATATATATATATATATATATAGATTTTGTATTCATAATTATAATTCGTGTATTATTAATAAGTAATTATTATTTCTTGGT